GATAAGGTGCTACGCGATCTTGATGGATCTAAAACGAAACAGCCAACCACACCCTGGTCAACCAATTACTGCCCAAGCGTCCCTTGCACTAGCAGTCCCCGCTGTGTAGGTCATGTGAAGTAAGAGAGGTAGAAAGAAAATGTAAGAGAAAGGAAAGTCATTTAAACGAAGGATGACACCAAAGAGTGAGGAGAATGACGGAATATGGACCCAAAGTTGGAACATGGATATGGCCAGAAGGGAAAGGTTTCGAGTTGCCACACAACAGCGCCTAACTGACGCTGGAAGCAAGTTCTAGCGCTCGATAACTCTACGCGATAACCGAGCTTCCGCCCTTATTCGGTTGGAACGCGGCTTATGTAGCTTTATGGGATGACCGCGAAGACTAGGCAACCTGGCCGGCCTAAATAGCCAGCTCAAGTCCGGTCCAACCTTCCCTGTTAAAATGCGGTAAGAATTAGGTCTCCTCGAAGCCGCCGGTAGTGCATTGAACTCATACCCAAGCTAAGTAGACGCTCGGTGCACGATTGCCACCGTAACTCCTCGATCAATTTGGTACCTGTTCTCAAAATCCTATCGAGCTCCATTTTGTCCCGAATAAGGCAGCGAGAGCAAAGCCTGGACACAGATGTGGCCGAACGAAAATTGAGAACCGCCTCACAAATATGTCGGCAGTTAAGACCCCAAAGAACAGCGTATTAATCACATCCTGAAACCCCTACTTGCAGCCTTCCTCCGTTTGTCACCAGAATGCAAAGACGAGGAATGGACGACGCCTAGGTCTAGCTGGTTGCAGTCAAGCGGAAGTTCGACCCCACCCAGCACGTACCTCGAAGGTGGGAAAGTTGCTCCTATACGAAGGACGGAACACTTAGCCTGATCAATGGGCAGTTGCCACAAAGTAGACCAGCACAGGGCACGCTGAATGGCCTCAGATCCCCCCAGGGACATTCACATTCCATAATTTAAATTCAGCAGCAAACAATAGGGATGATCGTTTACTTAGATGGGGAACAGCATTTTTAGAGGGACCGAACTCTGTTGGACACCGTTAAGGATCACTTGCCTAAAGGATAAGCTGCGACCGACACGTACACACTGCTCTTCCCTGCATGAATGCAGATACCCAGTGAAAGGCGCAGCCAGATACGCCGTAGGAGCTCCGCTTTTGTGATAGTCTCAAGGGGGTACCTTATCAAATGCGTTCGAGAACTCGACGAGAAGCACATTCACTACGTGGCCATTGTCCACTGCCTCGCACCAACCTTCAAGAGCAATCAACAAATAGGGTCAAACACGAACAACACGAAAGCCCTTCCGGAATCCGTGTTGTGCATTACTGAGTAGACGAATCTATTTAGGTGACGTTCCAACGACTCTCATCAGCTTTTCAAGCAGTTTGAACACGACGCTAGTCAGACTGACTGGTCTATAATTGGCCGACAGACTCCTGTCGCCATTTTTGAAGACAGGACAGATGACAGCCTTCTTCCATTCAGAAGGTAATGTACAGCTACCAAGCGACTTCCGAAACACCATCGTCAGCGGTCCACTTAGTTCCACCACCAACTCATGCAGAAGCTTCAGGTGAACTGAATCAGATGCAGCTGCCTTAGAAGGGTTCAGTTCTTGCAGCAGCCTAATGAGTTGGGTTTCCCCTACAGTAATTTGAGTCAACTAAGATCCCTCAGGCACTCTGGGGACAAGTTCAACGATAGTCAAAGAGGCCTCAAGTTTAAGGCAAGATCGCAGTTTCTTTTACAAAAGAAACTGCGATCTTGCCTTAAACTGCCAAGGACCAGCCACATTAGTGGTCAAGGCAAGCCTAATTCCATAAATTAATTCTCGAAGGATATTAACAGCTGGAGAAACTGCCCAAGGAAGTCCCCGTCTCTGAAAGCACTTAACCACTTCATCGCGGATGTTGCCTTATCAAAGGAGCCGAATAGCACAAGGCTATTTCGGTGGATAAAATGCTAGATGACCAAGTACTGCTCGAGTGGCTGACCACTTAGCTATTTGGGGATCAACAGAATCCTTGACTCGTCTCGGAGACAAGCAAGCTTCTTCCAAGGTCCGCCCACTTAGAATCGTGCGCCGAAATGAAGCGAAATGTCGACGCACCTTGCGATGGACCCCAGCCTCAAATATGTGCCGTTCTATGCCTACGAGACCTCTCTACGAAAGATCGAATCGAAATCAGATGGGCAATAGAGGGTCTAAGAACTCATAGGGGAAGCGGCGAAATTGATCTCCATATCGTGGATGTCCGAATAGTTTGAGAGACCTAGGGAGGTTATTGGAGCCCAATTCACGTCACCAATAATAACAGAGCGCATCCTATCTGCGATTGGGCGCAGGCTAAAGCATAAGCTACAAAAGATCCGGTTGCTTACCTCAGGGACTTGTCCAGATCTGGTGTTCATTGAAAGTCGGCTATTACCAAATACCAGACTCAGATGTGTCTATCCCCAGGTATCACCTTCCGTACGCCACGGATCTCAGAACGCATTCAGTCGAAAGTATCAATGAGCGGAATGGTAATTTGGAAGTCTTTTGGTGCAGCGTTTATGACGGACGCATATCACCCTTAGTCGGAATGGTCTACAGTCACATGCCTGTTGGATTTGAAAAAGAAGCGCCGTGGAGACAAGGATCTCAATGCATCGGACGTTGACTGGGACTCACATTTGAGCACGCCTACCCAACTCTTTTGTTGCCACCTTACTCGAAACAGTTCTTCAATACAATCTTGCTTATCTCGTGCTCTCCCCGGTACTATCAGATGTCACGCAATTCACAGTTCTTCGGACCATTGCTAGAAGCGATCCAGGCTTGCCCGCAGCGCTTTGTTCGAAGCAAAATGGAGTTTTGAGAATAGTTACCAAGTTGGTAGAGAGGTTACCGGGCGAACATACCTCACACGTCTATTTAGCTTGGGTATAAATTCAAGGACACCTGATGTCTACTTACCGCATTTTAACAGGAATTGAGCTAGCCATTTAGCCCGGCTAGGTTGACTTGTCTTCGGGGTCATCCCATGAAGCTATACAAGCCGCCTCCGGACTAGATAAAGACAGGAACTCGGTTATCTCGTTGGAACAAGTATCGAGAAAGTGTAGTCAGCCAATCCACGGTAAAGGGTTCCGGGCGTCAGTTAGACGCTCTTGCGTGGCAACTCGAAACCTTTCCCTTCTCCTGACTATATCCATGTTCCAAGTTTGGGTTCATATTCTGTAATTCTCCTCACACTTTGGTCTTATCCTTCATTACCTACTTTTCTCTCTTTGGCTTCTATTTTCCTTTTTTCTCATACTCACTTCACGTGACCTATATATCGGGGAATGCCAGTGCATGGAACGTGGGCAGTAACTGGTTCACCCCGACAATTTGAATCTGTGGATGAAGGTATACAGCCTGAAAAAAGTTAGCAGTATCCACTACGCAGCTTCGCGGCCGCGTAAGCGGTCTCGAACCTACGCCGTCCGATTAGAAGAGACTTATAGTTCTTAAAGTTAAGTGGCGACATTTAGCTTACAAGAGGTTGGTATCACAATTGACGCACCCCATGTTTGGTCGATTAAATGACTGCTGTTTACGAATAGTAAGTATGTTGTTGACTTATTTGGAACCTAGCATACTGCTAGTTATTTGCTCAGAAGCATCACTCGTGAGAGGGAGCTTGGAATAATTGTGTCCGAAGAACTTGTATCTACCTAATATGGTCGCGGCAGATTACAAGATGCTCGTATATTTGTAGGACGTTCTCTCCAGACCCCTAGGCTCTTAGATCTATCAATCTCATATGTATGTCCGATTCTTGAATGCCACCCATACTCACAGCAAACCAGGTGATATGCCTGAAAAGTTTAAAGGCTTGCTTTATTCCCTCCGACTTCAACAATTACACCTGTTCTCCCTAGATTGCGGTCGTACCAGAGATCTGAGATATTTTTAGGTGCCAGCTCAATACAGCTGGGCAAGAGGTCCCTGTTTGAGACATTTGGTACTGAAGAGTCACTATGCGCTTCAACCTAGTTTTATGCACTCGCGTAGTGAATGACAAGAACATTTTACTGGAATTCACCGCAAGACACAAAGACGTTTAAACTGTTGCATTCTCAACTGTATGCCATGACTCAGTTGTTCCCAATGCAGCTGAAGCAATCCTCTGCGAAATCTTGTTTCGCGATGAACAATGTTATCCTTGCAAGGAATAGAAGTGACAAAATTGACATAAGATCCGCCTGCGTTGTATCCTATAACACCAGGTGCCCGTCCGACGTATCGGCGCAGTGTACACCCAACCAGTTTGAAGCGATATGAACAGCGTAGTGGAGGTTAGACGACTTGAAACGCCCACACATTAAGTCCGACCTCCGATCCAGGATAGTGCTGGATGCTTAAGCAGTATCCGAACTTCACAGGTAGCGGAACACCAGGGCTCCGGTGCTATGACAGCACAGGCGGCATATTCTCAGGAGTATAATTTAGTTAGATGCCGCAGCATTTGCCGGCAAGCGCCATGTATTTGACCCGCGAAGTCGAAGATCCTTCGTTGCGTTCGTTAGGCGGAAGCTTATACCGTTCTGGAAACCTGACCAGACATACTATACTATGAGGTGATAGTGCAACGTGGGAGTTAAAATAGTGAGACCAGCAAGCAGAGACACTGGCGTACTTAGTAACCGCCATGATAGTGGAAAAATATGAATGGCACTCTAGTGGACCTACATAAACATGACAATAAATGCGGATGCTAGATCGGACAACGATGCTAAAGCGCTAGTCACGACAGGAGTCTAGATCGCAGGACAAGCAATCCCTAGGCTGAAATTAAGCAACATTAGCCTCCAACTGCCTGCTCCTCGAAGTAGCAAATTGCAGAAAAACAGCTAAGCATATAGAGTGAGCTGCTTAGCAGTTTCCACACGTTAACTGAGCAACGAAAACGATATTCCTATCCCAGGAGGACCGTTGCATTAAGAAAGGAAACGCAGTTCCACCCAACGGCTTATTTTGAAATGGATATCATTGATACAAAAGCGCAATGCAGTCTTTTATCAAAACAAATCCGGGCGAAGACAGCAACCTAGACGCTGCGGTGCAAGTGACGACAATTAAATGCAAAACGCGGCGAAAACGCTATAGATGTTAAACATTAAAACCGTGTGATATACAGGTCACTCAAGAAACAAATACATATTTGCCGTTGTACAGAATCAGGTTCGCCTTGGTGCGACGTGCTAAGCGATGTCTTAGACAGGCTCAGACGCTCAAAACAAACACTGAAGAATGCAGAGTTCAAGCAATGTATTGCATGTGTCTACACATCGCCGACTCCGCCTTCCTCCTCATCGAGGTCCTGATCATCGTCTTCATCATCGTCGTCGTCGTCGTTCTCTTTAATAAAATACAATTGAAAGGACGTTAAAGTGGCACTCAAGGAAACATCAACACAAGTACGTCAAGAGGATTATTTGACTCACCATTTTCCTCATCCAGGTCAGGTGAAAGGTAATACTGCAGAGGGTTGGGCCACAGATCGTCCTTGATAACTTCACCGAGCTCATCGCCAAATGCCGAAGACTCGTCTGTGAACCAGCAGAAAAAGCTGTCCTGTGTTTGGTCATCGTAGGAGCGCTTCTTGAGCTGCTCCCCGTTGTTCTTCTTGCCGGCGCCGCTCTTCGTGGTTAGGTCTTTGCCTGGATACCATTCGATTTTCGTATACTTAGAAGAGGGTTCGCCAGCGTCGCCAAGGTGAAACTCCTTTGTTAGGACACGATTCTTGAACCACTCGTTTTCGTCGAAGTGCTGAAAGGAAGCATTAGACGAAAAGAGAACTTACGAAATTAATCTGGAAGCCAGACTTAATGTCCTCGAACTCTTGAACTTCTACCTTACGTAAATGCTTGAGAACATTTTCATCTTTAGTAGTCAGAAGGTCGGAGAGCTGGGGATGGTTAACGAAGGCGGTTAACCAAAAGTTGGGGATTCTTGAAATCAATTCCGATCGCTTCACAAAGTGTGGATGTCTGAGCTTGTTAAACTTCTGTTCAACCTTAAGTATTTCTTCGCTAGCCTGCTCGTTTAGGTTGTCAATGGCGTTCTGAACCTCCTCTATCTCGTCAATGATAGCGTTGGTGCCGGCACCTAGCCAACCATGTACAGGTGTTAGGGTGAACAAAATCGTAAATACGACAAACCAGCGAGCAAACAATAAGTCAGTAAATCTTACCCATATCGCCGTCGGCGCCAGAATCATTAGCAGTACGCGGAACCTTGGGTTCGGTCGCCATTGTAATGCGAAGAGCACACCCGGGACAGGATATACAAATGGCCCCTAGAGCGGTTAAACAAATTGTCTATGAATGACTCCTGCCGAACTATGAGATGTTTATATAGCAAATTTCCTACTGCATTTTATTTATGGCCGATACTTGTTGATGCAGGTTACACCGTGATCTAATAATTATACTTCATACAAGCGCTAAAGCTATAAGAACATGCTTTATTTGTAGCACGAATGAATAGATTTTTACACGTCTATACTTAGATTTCCTGTGTGAAATATTGCTCCAAACCATGAAGTAAATCAACCGACCTTTCATTATCAGTTTACGCTTATAAGTGCACACACATCTATGAGCTAGAGTTAAATACGATTTATTCCTGGGCGGTAAATTGAAATTTGAGCCTGCTGGTCAGGTCAGGTCAGGTCAAAATCCGTGGACGATACAGGCTTCCGCCTAACGAGCGTCCAGCTTCTTGTACCGGTAAGCGAACCAGAGCCCCCGGCACTTCGACTTTTGATCGCCTCTCCTTGCCTCTGCAAAAAGAAATGAAGCAAAAGCGAGAGCAATCTTTGCTTTTACAAGTATCAACATCGGATAACAATGCGAATAAATTGGATAGGTTTTGAGGTTGCACTTGAGGATTGCATATTACGAACAGTTTTACTACAGTATCGTGCAAATATATGAGTTCTGCGAAATTGAGTCAGGCAGGTGTATCGTTTAAGACAACTACGTTATAATGGCCTGAGGATATCAAACGAACTGTAATGGCTTTCCAGGGCATACCTCACTAGCATTTATAGCAACGTAACCCTTACGTTAGTTAAACTTATGGGCCAGTACTTTAAAGAATGGTGCCTATCGTCCTACTCAACTAGTTGGCAGAAAATATCCTCCCTCCACGCCGTAGGTAAGGCGCAACTGACAAGAGCCCTTGCAA